TTCTATTTATCTATGACTTACCTTAATACAGACATAATTTTATAAATAAATAAATATTATTCTAAAAACTATTTTCTTCTTACAGTAAGATAAAAAAAATAATTTCGTAACGTGTTACCGATTTATAACCACAGTTGAAGGTGAATTTAGACCAGCTTCTTAATCAGCGCTGGATACTTACCTGTAAACAAAAAAACAAACATTAAAAACGTTATTACTTTATTGTTCAACTCGATATTGAGTTCGCGGCCAAGTTGTATCAGTATTTCCTCACATGTCATCTCAAAACAATTCGCAATAAAAATAAAGTCATCAAGTAATATAGCAGCAATAAAAATAAGAACGAGACCGTTGTAAGTTTGCAATTTCATCACGCGTACCATAGCTATAACCAGTAGAATTACTTTAGTCCCGTTTTGGATTTAATAATCTAGATGTAAAAGACATAAAATATGGCATTTCTCGTAATGAGGGTTGACTATACCTATAGGTACAATAACTCTAGACTTGTGGATATACTATCTTCTCCTCCCAATAAGTAGTTATTAGCTTGTAGATCAAAACTCACACAAGCTAGATTTTTTCTTAAGACACAACTTGCGAAGATGAGTGGAATAAAAATATCCGAAACACGGTTTCTCAATTGAGAATACCAGCTTGAGCGTGCTTATCATCTACTCAAGGATGGATTTAATATGAAAAGTTCATACCTACTTGATTGTTTAGATGAGCACGCTTGTGCGTTTCTACATTGAAATTTTTGGCTTGTGTCAATGTAGAAACCGGGCCATAATCTTGTATTCTTTTTTTTGCGATAACTATCATAGATGCAATGCTGTTTCTTTGCAAACTGAAAAACATTTCATTGCCGTAACGGAGAGCCTACTGAGCCAACCTTAGTTGCGCTACGTGACCTTCTCATCCACCATTGAATGCTCAGTGAAAACCTGTGAGAAAAGCATCACAATTCACAATGCAAATACGCTAGGATCGCCGATACAAAACGCATGTTGCGACATGGCGGTTACACCGGAGCTGTGGTTTGAGTAAGATGAGGAGCATGGGTAAGACGCTCTTGGATAGAGGATTGAAATCACAATACGTTGGATTGCACTTGAAGTAATTTAAAATAAATGAGATGATGGTTAGCCTCTATGGTCTTATGGTCTTATGGTCTATTGGTCTATTGGTAAAGGAGATGGAATTTTGACCCTTGACTTTGGGGATATTAAGTTTAATTCCGAGATATTATTTACAATTCATGTATTAAGTTTGAAAAATATTTCTCACTCATTATTTTTCAATTTAAAATGATACTTTTAACAGATTTGTTTAATAAAAGTTGCAGCAACTAAAAATAAAATATTCTAAGCCTGCAATAAATATTATTTGTCAATTAAATGTCAAGACATCCTTTCACATGCTCAGTAGAAATGTTTGTAATATCAATTTATTAGTAGTACAGTCAGATACATACATTTCTTAGCATTTTTCATACATAACTAAAAAAGTGAACGATGACATAGTCGCTCATGCCCACCACAACACCTTTTGCGTTTCGAACCCGTGTTTTTTGTAGACGACTAACAGTTATCAAGCTGACTGTACAAATGAAGCAACCGCCAAACAAATACAAATTGCCGCCGTATCGGGCGGTCAGTTGCACAAACAATTTACATAACAATGGGCAGCGTAACGCGTTAAAATAATTACATGTGGCCGACGATGGGGACGCTCTAATTGATCGTTTATTGTAGCGACAAGTGCAAATAGGAAGAGGTTGCATAGCGGTCGAGGTATGGTCGACTCGCGCGAACTTTCAAAATGGAGTGGTTAATCGCTAATGAATTTTTATGGTGCTAACAGGATGTGATGCGACTCGCCCTGAGTTCATTAATGAAGCGATTAAGACAAAAGAAAATATGTTAAAGACTCTATAAAGATACCTTTCAAGGCTGGTATAGCCGTCATATAGAAAACCACATTAATAAAACAACAATATGATTTTATGACAGTTTTATAGATTTAGGACTTTCAACTTGGAATATAACTTACCCTTTTAAGGTACAAATTGATCAATAAGAAAGAGGTCTTCCTACTTCGAAATGCATTGCTGGAGTATATTTATTTATTTATTTTTATTTTATTTATTTATATTAGGGAAACAAACAATTTTCATATACAGACAAATAATCACACAAAAAATAGGACAGAAATCAGCAAAGTTTCCACAGTTAAAATTAATACAGATTGCAGACTAAAAATTAATTGAATAGTAATAAATTATACATTAATTTCTAAATGTCAAATAAATACAATGTCAATTTTATAAAATGTCAAACAGTTAAATTTAATAAAAATTATAAAATGTCAAAAAGTTAAATATTAATAAAATTATATAAATTAAAAACACAGTAATTATGTAGGTCAAAATTAAAAGCAAGTTATATATTCAAACATTCTCTCAATTGTTTTTTATAAGATGGTAAGGAAGAATTAAAAATGTCAATCGTGTTAAACCTATTATTATATTCCTTACAAGATCTAGGTACAAAACTGTTGCTAGCATAATTAGTCCTAGTGAGAGAAATAGAAAAAAGTTTTGTAGAACGCGAACTCGTCCGAGGGCACCTAAAACTAATATTACTTAACAAAAAAGAGGAGTCAACATGGTTATTTAAAACTTTGTAGAGAAAGACTTGGTCTTTCTCAATGCGACGGTCTAAAAGAGATGGTACATTAGGAAGTGTTCCGCCAAACTTATCAGCTTTGTAACGTAAGTGTTTTTCAAACTTTTTGTTAATTTTTTCTATTGAGTCAATGTATATTTTGTATTGTGGGTTCCAGACAGATGATGCATACTCCAGAATGGACCTTACGTACGAGTTGTAAAGTAATGAAACTGTAGAACATAGTTTAAAATCTCTTCCCGTTCTTAAAACGAATCCCAGCATTCGGTAAGCCTTAGCAGTCATGATGTCTATGTGTGTTTTAAATGTCAATTTGGAATCTAAATGAACTCCCAGATCTCTCACCTCTGTCACTCTTTGAAGAACTATGTTATTTAGGTGGTAATGATGGTCAATCGGCTTCGCTTTCCGCGAAAACGAGATAGAATTGCATTTATTTATATTGAGAGTCAAATGATTAAAATTACAATAAGCACAAAGCGCGTCAAGGTCATTTTGCAGTAAAACACAATCGTAAGGTGATTTAATTTGTTTAAAAATTTTCATGTCGTCAGCGTAAATTAGAATGTCAGTGTTTTTAAAAATTGATACGATGTCATTGATAAATAAATTAAATAAAAGAGGGCCCAGATGAGAGCCTTGGGGTACCCCAGAGGATACAGGCACAAACGAAGAGCAGAAACCTTTGATGGTAACCGCTTGACTCCGCTGCTTCAAGTAGGACTCAAACCATCGCAGAAGGTCGCCATGAATACCCATGTCACTAATCTTTTGAACGAGAGTCGAATGCGGGATCTTGTCAAAAGCTTTGGAATAATCTGTGTACACAGCATCCACCTGGTAACCCTTGTCCATTGCCACTGAAACTCGGTGAACAAATTCACAAAGATTGGTTTCTGTTGATCTTTTATTAATAAAGCCATGCTGTTGAGGTACAATTACAGGCCTCAAAATTGGATAAATTACATCGTAAATAATTTTTTCGAATAGTTTAGGTATAGTACTAATTTTAGAAATTGGCCTATAGTTTTGAACATTGTGTCTATCGCCAGACTTGTAAATCGGAACGACATGACACTGCTTCCATAAATCGGGCATTGTACCCTTAGCCAAGGATAAATTAAATAAAATACATATAGGGTAAGCCAAAGATTTGCTACAGAGTTTGAGAAAGATGGGTGGAATGCCATCAGGCCCACACCCCTTAGTAATATCAAGTAATTTCAAGTATTTCTCCACCGTGTCTGCAGCGATATCAATAGTACTAATCACTTTTAATGGATTTGAATCGTTTAAGAGTCCAGCTTGTGTATAGTCCGAAACAGAGGGTTCAAAAACTGAGCGAAAGTAATTGTTAAACAAGTCACAAATATCCCTCCCATCGGTAGATACAGTTTCATTATAGAACATTGTATCTGGTAGACAGGAAGATGATTTTTTTGATTTAACAAATGTCCAAAAATATTTGCTGTTTATTTTTATTTTTATTTCTGCATTAAAAATGAATTTGTCATAACATTCCCTTTGCACCCGCTTCTGCCGCTCGCGCAGGAGACAAAAAGTATCGTAATCGCTTTGACGATGGTAAATCTTCCATTTTTTGTGGTATTTAAGCTTTTCTTTAATTATCTTAATAAGAGCAGATGAAAACCAGGGCGGGTAGCGATTATCGCTTTTAAAAGTTTTAGTGGGGACGTATTTTGAGATAACATCGTTTATTGTCTCATAAAATCTCACCACGGCCATATCAATGTCGGTGCTATGATCTAAAAACCGCCAGTCAATGGACATAATTGCATTGTTAATGCAGTCATAGTCAGCCTTACCGAAAAGAGGAACGGTCCGCGTTATAGATGGAAATGAACGCAAAGATAAGGATTGCACGTTCACATCCAGAGCGGGATGGTGGGCATCCTCATTTATTAGCGGTTCTCTGCATCGTCCAACCACGCAATTTCTATCACTGATAACAAGGTCAAGAACTCTGTCATTTACATTGGGTATGTCATTAAATTGTTTCAGAGACGCGTTCATCAAGAAACTATGTCAGGAACGGTTTATAAAAGTTATTTTCACCAAGGTATTCAATTCTTTTTTCTTCCATTTCAATTTTTAAACCCACGAGTAAATAACAATCGAAAAAGTAATTAATTTCTCTAGTTTAGTCTGAAATTGCTCCAACTTTTTTTATTCCTAGTTAGTTCACCCCGTAAAATGAATGTAAATTAAGGCTGAACACGTATTAAAAACATGGTCCTCAGATCAATTCTGTTTTGTGCGCAATCCAGGAGCCATGTTGTGGCACTTAGTCTATAGCAATAGAGTCTACTCACTTGGCAGTATTTTATCAGCCGTAGGATGCGAGCACCTCGGGCAGCACTCCCCGGCCGGAGTATAGTGGTGTGCGCGTGGACACGGCAGCACTGGGCATGCCCTCTTGGCACAGGAGAGGGCGCCACGCACACAGCGACACGATAGACAAGGCTCCTCAGGGATCCTCACATCACGGCCTTCCCACACGCGTTGACCGTTGATCACGCATTCTGAAAACAATCAAATCGCATTTTTATTCATGATCATCAGGTGGTTTGGTCTTTGCTGCAGGAGCACAACACAACCCTCTCTAATTTACTAGAGGCAATTATTCTTATTTCAATTAGGTCGTTTTGTCTCTACTGTAAGAGCACGAAGTTCTCGATTAACAGTAAATGTAGGATTCTTCTTACACTCCCCACGCTGTACTGGCTAGACAGGTTGGGGAGGCGTGATATACTGTCCCTTAGTTAGAGGACTAAGGCCCGATTCGACCAAACTTTTATCCGAGAATAACTCCTGGTATAACTGGCACATTGACAGTTTCAGTATGGGAAATATGTCAAGACGACGACTTAATCTGAGATGAATATTTACTCTTGTTTGGTCGAATCCACCCTGAGGGACTTACAAAATCCAACAGGATATCAAGTGGTCCTCTGCTGTACCAAAATATTCTGATATTTTCCGTAGTTGAATCGATAAATACAAAGAAAAGCGTGGACTCTACGATGACGAGAGATATGATGTGAAACAAAGAAAAATACTCGTTATTGAAACATTGGCATGTAGCCAAAAGTATCCTTTGGGTCTTTCTTCTATTATGTTTTACTGAAAAAAGGCAAAGTAACGCAAGTTGACTGTTCTGACTGTAGGAGTACACTGCTGAAATAAATTCCTAAGAAAAGCACAATAGCAAATACGAATATCTTTGTAAGCGAAAACTGTAGCGCTTTTCTTCTAGGTTACGATTTATTAGATCTCTGATTCTTTAATAAAAGTTTGTAAAGAAATATCTAAGAGCTACGAGTGCCAACAAAATTATGAAAATTATCACCTCACATACTGCCATTGAAGTTTCGAAAATGCACACCAGATACATTGATCTACCTAATTGAAAAAAAAATACGCTAAAATACTACCATACTATACCTATCAATATTTCAGGAACGAAACAAAATCTACGCGAATGAATGAACATGCAAGTATTTATTTAATGGAATCCACGTTCGCAAAGTAGCGTATCATCAATGACAAGCAAAAAAAACGTTCGCAAAAGATAAAACAAAAGCGCAGAGCCATTATTTGGCAAATCGGAACGAGCGGACGCGAGCGGCGCGACAAAGCGCGAACTCTATAAATTGGGGAAGACGGCCGATGAATCAATCAGGGTGCCTAATGAATGAAAGGCCGCACATGGTGGGCCCGCCTCTACCCGACCACCTGTAGTCCACTTACATGAGTATATGATTAAGTATTAGTTAGAAAATGACCACACCCGAAGCCTCTAATTTGACGATTGTTAACGATGCTGAAACCTTAACTGGAGCTATCAACGTCCACTTAGCAACGCATTTTTAAGGTGATACAAATATTTAAACTTCAATTTGTGTCAATCATAAAGTTTTTTATAGAAAACTTCAAATCAACGCCACGCAATAAATTACGTATGGCGCTAATTCTGGCGTCAAACACCTACCTATATTATACTATTTATAGGTTTACCGGATACGTTAAATGTTTTGTAATCAATTAAATAATAATAACTTAGCACCTCCACGATTTAATGATTGAAACACAATACTAACAATCCGTTAGTAACTTGATCTGTGAATCCGTAACTCCTTCCTGATTTGACCAGTTACGGAATGTCAAACTGGCAAAACATTTACTTGTAATGACGTAGTCTAACGAGCTATTAATTGTATTGTGTTAATTTTATTGTGATACGCATAGTTTCCAAGTGGCGTTCCATGCTTCAGTACAATGAACGCCAAGTGAAGAGTCTACACTCGTTTAAAATCTGTAAGTTGAATACGTTCATTGAAAGCCCCAACAATTCTATGCGCTTGCGTCGCCGCCGTCTGCGCATAATTGTGACAATGATGTCTAGGGTTTCGACTTCAGTAAGTCATTAAACTTTTAAAAAGCTTTCATTTCCTTAGTATAATTATAAAGGTTCACATACTTTACACTATAAATACGAGAGTAAGATCTGATTATGTGTGGAGCGTAATTGCGCACCATAAAGTTTACCGTCTCTACATTTTAGATGTTTTAATTTTTGTCCGTGAAGTGGTGTCAACCCTAATGAAGACGTCGAGTGTCTGTCGTAAAACTAGAGACGAGTACACAAAGTAGGTTGTCCTTTTGTAACCAAACAATTAAGTATTCATCGTCGGTCCAAACCGTTTATATGAGCGATGTGCTTTGTCACTGAATGAGCATAAACTACGAGTAACTGACTCGACACAAGGCCTCGCTATCGGAAAATTACAGTTAGTATTATTATATTATTATTATCAAATTCGGATAAACGCATTACTAGTTTTATTGTGTTAACAAAGACCCAATCGTTTACGTAAGACTGGTTAAGAGCCCCAACGATATTTTAACAGGTGACTGAAAATTGGTATTCTTAAAACCCTTAGGAAATAATTAAGCTTTACGTCATATAATAAACGGAGAAAACACTTCAATTACAAGAACCATATAATAACTCAATTCATTTATGTAAAATACGAGTACGAATTTTAATACATTTGCATTTAAGATACGTCCAGGTAGATCGTAACGTTGCGATATATGGTGAAACTCGAGTGTGGTGTTGTGTCATTATGGTAAAATTTTCTCAAAAATGTGACAGGTGGGAATTAGGAAACAGCAAATCTTCATTTTTGAGTCATTACTGGAGTTTTCAGGAGATATTTTATAAAGTGGGTGTAAAATTTTAAGTAACCGAAGCAAATTAGTGCAAAAAAAACTTTACGATAATATAAGCTGTAATAGTCGACATGGGAAAAATAAAAGAATGCCTACACCTTATTATCATGTCTACCCCACAAACAAAAAACTTCTAAGCTTAATAAAACATTATGTAATGTCTGTAATAGCTCGTTTAAGGATTCATAGCACGCATCAAGCGTACATCACAAGCTAATTATTTCAATTTCTCAGGTCGTCGACGCAGGCATACCTAATAATAACGACGCACCTCAAAACACCGCAGGAATTTTGATGAGCTAGTGTTTTAGCATGCCAAAAGAAAGCTTCGGGTTTTTTTGATATGCGACGGAAATTGTTTACAAGTTACCTCATTTATCGGTGTCATTAAGCGTTTTTGGCTTTTTAATATAATGTACGCGTACATTTTCATAATTGCTTCAAGTTACAAGAAACCAGAAACAATGTAAGAACAATCTTAATATTTTTCCACACATTATACTCTTGCAGACATGAGGTTAGTCATCATTTTTGGAAACAGCAATAAAAACCCTTAGGCTGATAAGACAGAATCGTGAAAAAATAACAAGTATACCGAGCAAAAAACCTAATGCACCGTTGGGATCTTAAAACAAACAAACACAGGGCACTCCTCAGGCAGCCGAGCCGCGGCCGCTTTGACCACCGACAAAAACCCACCCGACCTTACCCTACCTTTTAAGTAGGTTGTTAACTTTTTGATTTATGGTCAATAATAGAGACGCAACGCCGTGGGAGACTCCGACCACGAATGTATTATTTTAATGAACCCCTGTGAACACATAATAAGACTTACTTCGCTTTATGGAAGAATTTAATTCCTTTGTTCCTGGTTACGGCCAGGGAATCGCTCATCGGCTCCGCGAAACGACACGGTCTGGGTGGTCCATCTTACACACTCATTTCAGAAACCTCCTGCCCGAGCATTATCAATGTACATAAAAATAAAATAAAACCTTTCGATTACCATTTTCCTCTCCCTTCAACAACAAACAATTGAATCCTTTCTCAATCTTATATTTATATCTTCACTCGCATATGTTTTATGGTTTATAAAAACAAAGAGATAATTACTATTTGGCGCCATTTTGTTTTGTTGATAAACAAAAACAAAAAGTAAGACGCAGTCGGAACTATTAATAATGTAGGTAATATACAATAAGAGGGTTTTTAACCTTCGGTACATAATGTGACATCAAGAGTTGTTCAGACTGATTAATGACTGTTATTGTATAATAGGAATCTGCAATTAGGTATGGCGGCGTTAGGTGGTCGAGCCACAAGGCAAGTGGCTGGGCTATTGTCTGAAGTGCTACTGCGCAACTCGTCTGACCATGCCATTGTTGGTGACGATGCGTGGGCGGCGTTTGCCCACCAGGTATTCCTGACACATGACATATTGTGACTGAATAATTTAGGTACTTCCATATTTTGTCTTACAAGTCTAACATAAACAAAGGAACCTATACAAACATTGCTGATTCCTAACTCAACATTTAAATATGTTGACTTAGATTGACTTTAAGATGTACACAGGCTATTAGAGTATCCAAATTACCCATAAAATATCTTCAATACCGCATATACAATTTTATATCCATCGATTTTCAATGTAATCGTAACGTAAATCAAAGTTGTATGGGTATGGCTAATCCACGTTTAATGGTCAATACACAGTACTAGATCCCTTGATCTCGCCTAGCAACCGGCGGGTAATTAATAAAGTATAAACACGGCCAATAAAACGATATTCCGGAATGTGTCGGCAGCACACAAAAGCGATTCCGAGTCGTCATCTTGTAAATTACTATTATTTGATATGGAATTAATAAACTTGTTAAGGTTTGGAAGCGGAGGTAAATTGCCCGTGGTTTTGGTTTTATTTAGTTCGCGTGGCGGCTTGTGTTTGTTTTTGTATAGGATCGTGGTGGTTCTTTTTTTGCCGCGCATGCGTCTGGGTGGGCGCGCGCCGAGACACGGCTGCGCCAGCGCCGCTCAACAATTATCTCCGTTGAAAAACGTAGGTACTCACGATGGGAAAACGTGGCGTGAAATGGTGAGTAAATTCTTCTGGGTAATTTAACCCTTTTGATTGCTATGAGCACTTAATGCTCGTAGCGGTGTCATTAATGTGGAAAAAACATTTCAATGGATCGCAAGCAATCTACTAAAATGCGGCTACACGATTATAGAGACATCGAGAGCTGGCTTTGTGTAAAAATGCTGTAGAAACGTTAACTACGCTAATTGGATATGATGCCTTAGTTTTTGCATTGAAGTGTAACTTAATCAAAAGATGCCAAAACAAATTATGTTCTTGGAACTAATTTACTTGCTTGAGCAATGTCATTACCTTAGTTACCTGCCGCTCTAGTTAATCTATGTCTAATTTCCAAGCTTAATAGGCCTCTAGCCTATGGGGCAGCAAAGTTCTGGAGTGGAGGCCGTACCGGAAAACGCAGCGTGGGGCGTCCACCCACAAGGTGGACCGACAACCTGATAAAGGTAGCAGGAGGGCACTGGATGCAGGCCACTACCAACCGTGCGATGTGGAAGTCATTGGGGGAGGCCTATGTTCAGCAGTGAGCATCCTGTGGCTGAAATGATGATGATGATAGGCCTCTAGAATCCAGCAAATAGAAGTATGAACTCACCATCACAAACAGGGCAGTTGTAATGCGTGTGCCGTTGATGCTTCGGCCTGTCGCACGGCGCGTAGCACTCCGGCCTTGAGATTGTGACCACTCCAGCTTCGCAGCGAAGCACCCTCCCCTCCTCCCCCCACTCGGTGTGGGAGGCGTGCTCGGTGCCGTTGTACCAGCAGCCCTTGCAGCGCGAGCAGCAACCCTCGCGAGGCATCACCACCGCACAGTCGTCCATGAGACCGCACTCCTCGCCCTCGCTTCGGCACTCGACGAAACCGTTCTGCAACAAATAAGCGCTACCATGAATATTGTGGAAGTTTAGGAACAGTTCACTTGATTTCCAATCGAGAAAGTTATGATCAATGATTCAAAGTAGAAATAAGCCATGCGCGACAATCGAGTCTGAAATGACTAGTCTTCGAATACATATAAATGTTCTAATTCCAAATTGTTTTCAGTTTTTTCAAGAATATCGTCCTAAGACGATAAGAAGAACTAATTCGGTTGGTCGAAAAATCGGTAAGTAATCGGTGATCTCCTATGAACGGAATAATAAACTAATCTCATTCAGTTACTTAGAAATAATACCTTTGCTTGATTATTGCCAACAATATTAAAGTCAATTTTATCGTTTTATTGCATAAATTAAACAAGTTGCAAAATAATCCAATTACAAAAGACCAAAATATAATGAAAATTATTTTAATTAGATTACCATAACTAGGCATTTTACAATCCGTTCAATATTCAAATGTAAATTTTATACGATGCAATTACTGTGCAATTTACTGACATAATTATTAACTAGATCTCACCTACATAGATAACGAGGTGTTAAAATTTAACGTTAAAGGTTACCGCCTTGTTTACCGCGTTATCATTCCATCGTTATGTTAATAATAACACCTAAACTATATGTATGAGTCAACAAGTAATTGCGACGGAAATAATTTCATATTTATAATTTTATCGACGTCGTTAGATTGGCTTTGGACTAATATCATAGAAATAAATCAGTCTAAATTCAGAATTGTCATAAGTCAGTAAGCCGCTAATAAAATTACAAACATGACAAAATAAAATAGAACATAAAAACTAAAGCTGGGGCGCGTCGCCATTCATCATAAACGTTAACATCTCAAAATAAAATATCAATTTTATCATAACACTTAAAACGTAGTTGACTTAGGAATAAAAACATGACTAACCGAGTGGGTGGACCCAATATTGCAAGTGACACACTAGCGCATCTGCCACAAATAAAACCATCCATTCACAGATAGGAGTTTCTTGAGATTATTCCGTACATTTGTGACGATAAAATGCAATGGTTATTAATGCGAAATCATTTTCATCCATAACAAGATCGAAACTCATTCTCGTAATTATTTTAATGTGTTCTTAATGGGTCTTTGTTCTGGTGCATTTGCATGAACACTTGGATTACTCGGGATATGCTGCGCCAGTATACTAGTGCCGCCGGTACAGTCATAAAAAGTAAAGAGTATCGATAAATTACAATCGACATATCGAAAAAAATCTCAAAATGCTAACTACATTTTTAAATTACTACGATAATCTTTTATCGTGTGACAAAGTTCAAATTACCTATACTATATTTTTAACACAACTTGTTAAAATTAGACCTAGAGTAGGTACTTAACTCATCACAAAGTTGCATAAAACAATAGCATCTAATTGCCAATTTCAAATTGTAGCATTATCGGAATATATAAAAACATCTAGATAAAACATTTACATGTCGGTTTGTACCATTTGCAAGACATAGAGTCCGCATCTTCTTTTACAAACATCTGGATTTATATAATTGATTTTTCACGCAATTGAAGGTATTACGTTACTATCAGGTTGATCTGTGCAGCAGGACTTACCTTTTAACAGCCCAAGAAATACGAGTACCAATAAATTATTACCGATCTACTGTAGATACTGAGCTCGACAGAAAGCAATACTATTGAGAGTTAAGTACGGATATTATTAATCAAGAATCGCCACTTTAATGCCATATATCCATGATTGCAAAGTCATCAACAGAATCAGCATATTTTGAAGTATGGGTAAGTATATTTATATTTACGATACCGTTAAAGCTAATCGATAGTTTGGCAACCCTAATAATAACTTCTCTATACGGTTTACTTGATCAGAAATCTTAATAATGAACCTTAAATCTTTGCAATAAGAACATTCGCCATCTGTAGATTTAATCTATAAAGCCTTATAAACGCGTAAAACTCATTGGCAACTTGTCATTATTCAGTGTTTGGTCTCAACCAGGTCCTTTAAAGGAAATCGTATGTAGAAGTTATCAAATTACCAATTAAACACTCTCTTACGTATTTTTTAAACATCAAGTAGAGTCTTTTTTACAAAACATGTCTCTTAATTGACTTAATAATTACAAAACATCGGCACGTGATGACACATTGAATTTTACTTTTTTCACTTACACCAATCACATAATTGATAACAATATACGAAGCTTTCAAGGCAGGCAGACAAAAACTACGGTCAATTTCAAACATTGCCTTAGAAATATCATTAACCCATAGTGGAATTTCCCACTTTCGCAGTCAACGTACCCACTTAACAAGCGCTCAAACAAGTGTGACAATAAATCTTATAGCACACATTATACTGTGTTACGGTCGAGAACAATATGTTTAGGAAAATAACCTACACACATCCTTAAAAGGGAATAGTCGCAACTTATTAATCTTGCAAAGATATAAGTACTTACTCGAAAAACTGCAAATAAATTGTCATCTAACACGCTTTAATTTATGTGCCTACTTAGTGCCTCGAACGATCTTTAAATACTCCTTACGCAATCCAATGATTGTTTAATTGTTTGGCCAAATCAGGAATCCAGTGTGTACACATAAGTACAAAGTTTTTAGCATCCTAGCTGTCAGACACGATCAATATTAGTCAAGAATATTTGCATAGAACTGTATATTTATCATACGTTTTAACACCAAACATGCCACGCATATTTCCAATCTAGCTTTTCATGTAAGATAAAATGAAAAATTCGCTTTTAAAGTAGGCATACCTAAAGAGCGAAAGTCTGTTTATAGCCAGGCAATAATCAAGATTACATTAGGTACTAAGGTATGCATATCATAAGGTACATCTACCTAAATTGCTGCGTTATGCGTAGGTGTATTTAATAATGATTTAAGTAGCAGTAATGAATTTAAGAACTGATCTGCGACTGTTTTGTCATTTAATAGGCAAAATCATCAAATACACCATGTACATCCACCGAGCCATGAGACACTTTTGCCATTGTCTGAACGGAAAACCAGCTCTACAAAATCCAATCCAATCCCATATTTTGTTAGTAGCTAAAGTTTTTATAAAATTTACATTAGTACGAATCCTAAACAATCGATCGAAAGTTATTATTCTAAGATTAAATTCGTCGAAACATATCGAAGCTGCAGGTGTAACAACTGACTTCCCAATAATTTTCGTTTCACTTTGGATGTGGTCGGTACTTCCCGAGGTCACCCACTCACCGGTGTTTATTGTTTTTTCTCTACTTCACTCGTATTTCGGCTGCTTCTCTTTGAAGTAACCCTCAGATAGCGAAATATTTACGTTTTCTACTCATCGGTTAAAAATAACTATAAGTCTGTCGACTACCCATTACTTATTAGTAAGTAATGTGTACTGAACATAAAATTTAACAGATAACACTGTGGTTAAGCATAACGCAATAAAAAATCGTGTTTGGTATTTTCGGGTTTTTAAGCGTCGATAGTTTATTTTGAACGAAAGTAGGGTTAGTAGTGAGATGCTATTATACAAGAGATTATCTAAACAATCACGAACAACTCACTAACCACACACAACTGACCTACTGAACGTAATGAGACACGATAAAACTAGACTGTTTCTAGTCGCCTTCTGACCTATTCTGATATGAAATGATTAATTGAAGATATAAGTCCACCAGCATCGTTATCACACACATATTTGCGTAAAAACTAAATGAACATGAGTGACATGTGCATAATCTATGAGTTAAGCTAATAAGCGGTGAGGAAATATTGAGTAGGTTAATTACTTAAGATAGGTTTATATCTCATGTCTACACATGACTTTCCACTCGTACGAACTTTAAAACTGTATTGAAAGCCTGGTATTTCAGAAAGTTTAACTGACTGAAAAATATCAGTTTTTAAAAAGCCTTTGCAAGGTTTTATCAGTATTCAAATTTTGCTTATCAAATGACCGCAATTCGTAAGCTGATTTAAATTATTTGTTTTATGTTGAAGAAACTCAAAGTCACAGTGATAATTTATCAAATAAGAGAAATGCTACGACGACTACGAAATGAGTCATGCTTGTGACATTTTCTTTGTTGACTGTGAATTTCGTAGCAGTGTCTTTGTAGTATACATTCGTAGCAATCTTTTGTTTTACTCATTTCAGCCTATATCTCGCTTCACCGATCCTTTTGTATGTTTTTGCATTAGTAATAGTTATGTCACTTACCATTTGATAAGATTTTGAAAAATTTGAATTATACCATGCCATGTCATGGATTGCTATTTGAAAGATTTTCCGAAGTTGCAATGCTCTACAAACGAATTGCTATGTTCAATGAAATCTGATCTCTATCACGTATTGCTTCACTTCATTAGAATAATGAGTGTTCTGCGAATCTGGCGTGTAGGGGCTACAAGGAGCTTGTACACCTCCATATTCTAATATTATCTACTGTGGGAAGTTCTGCTAATAATAAATCTAAAACATTTTCTCCGTACTAGAACGTTTGTTACACTTTTTGTAATTCGTTTATTTTTACTCATGCTAATGTATTATCGACATGAGATCGGCTCATGAAAATGAATAGGCGTTTTGTTAATTATGTTTTATTGGAAAACCATGACAAACGACCCAACTGATTTTGCTTAGATCATAATGATGAATTTGAATGAAACCTAAGCATAAGAAAAGCGAATGATATCTGCCTTTCTGAGAAACAAAAGTCCAAATTTTTCAAATCAAATAAAATTAATTCTACGCATATTTCTCTTGTGCACAAAAATGAAGCCCCATCAAAACTTTTTTACTGCAATGGGGAAGCTTTTAACCTACATTACACCTATTAGTTTATACTTATACAGCATTTTATACATTTTCGTCTATTATTACACCACATTTTATAATACTTTTATTCCATTAAGGGACTAGGTATACGAAATTGATAGCTATTGACTCTACCATCATAGTAGCAATGTGGAT